CACTGAGTCGATGTTATTGTTATTCGGTGGTAGTACGGCATCCGTTGTGGGTTGGATCGGCATAGAGAAGTTCTCGTTTACTGTCGGAATGGGCATCGCTGAGAAAGCCGGCCGTGGTAGGGTGCCCAGCGGCTTGTGCTGGGTGACGGTCAGCGGTGGCGACACTTCGATGATCTTTTCCAATGGTGGTTTCGGCATCGAAACCGTTGGAAGCATCGACTGTTGAACAGTATGATGAGTGTTGGCTTCCGACTGCCAGTCCGGGGCTAAATGTGCCACACCGGATGGTAAATTTGCGCCTGCGAAGAATGTGTCATGGTGTGATCTGACCCAAGACTGTGTACGTCTAGCTGATGTATGGGAGGTTCGAGAAGAACCTCGAGAATAAGATGACTTATCTTTAGCATCCAGAGAGGCGAGTTGAGCCTGCAGTCCTGCCTGCTCAGCTTCGAGTTGTAGACGGGTGAGCTCACGCTCACGCTTCGCCTGCTCCGTAGCCAGTTGTACGCGACGACGAAGATGCTCCGCTTCGGCTGCTAGTTTCTTCGCGCGCACGGTAGCTGATGAGTGGGATGACTGTGAACGTTCACCCTTAGAACTACTGCAAACAGAATAATCTTTTGATTTTGCGACACTACCATCAAAAGATTCGGGGCGCTGTGTGAGACCTGCTTGCAGGCTCGCGCTCGATGGTTGTATTGCAACATCGATATTATCAGCGCTAGGAGTTGATTGCGAATTGACGTCGTCAATTCGTGGATGCGTGGAGCCATTATTGTGCTGCATCCGATCGACTCCGAACGCTGAAATATCTGCAACCGACTTACTTTTACTACGTGTCTGCATGATTGACGTGAAATGAACAAATTAACAATTATGAACTATGAATATTAACTAAGAAAAAATAGGACGAAATGATATGAATTATGCTGGCTAAATAATTTTAACTAACGAAGGACCAAAATGATAACTACTAGAGCGAGGACTGTATAATGAAATGCTAAATAAAATGAATTAAATAATATAATATTACTACATAAGTTTACAAGTTTATAAGTCGGTTACAGAACAATAATTTTAAGCTACTAATGACAAAATCAAAGAATATACTAAAAGTCAAAAAACTGTATAAAAGGAACATGTCATAAAAACTTCTTAAATATGTACACTATGCCTACTGCCAGCTAGTTTCTAACAGATGTGTTATTTTTTCTTAAGTTATATAGTTATTTAAGTCTCAATACGTGGCACTGATTTTTTGTATGCGCATCGTGTTTAGAAAATATGAATTATTATTCGGACCAAGACGTCATTTTGAACACCTAGGAGAGTTGTGACAGCCTATCACAACTCTCCTAACTTACTCCAAATTTCTGCTGGGCTATTTTTACATTTTTTTTATTAACTTTAGATGTTTGTTGGTGTGTTAGTAGCTACTTAAGGTGTTTAATGGCATACCGCATACTTATTTTTTTGAGAATACCAAATAACTATACACGAGAGACTGAAAATCTAAGAATGTTAAGAAGCGTGTCTTCAGCGAAGAAAAAAAAAGAAACCTAAAAAAGCAAAGAAGACTAATAAGAAGAATAGAACAAGTGATGAAGAAGATGTAGAAAATAATTGCTTTTATTTGGTTTGCCTTGAAGCCTATGCAGACAGCAGATCGAATGATCAGTGGGTCCAAAGCCTGGAATGCAAAGGCTAGGCACAGTTAGATTGTACTGGGGACGAACTTCATTACGTTTGGCATAAATGTGAATCTGATTAGATTAAGATTTTATACTGATGAGAATATTCTCATAACAAGTAATTATAATATTTTCATTAACTAAATATTGTATCGCTTTGAGATCAATCATATTATTGTAGTATTAATATTAATACTATGTTGTTTTAGTTGGTAGGTATTAAAAGATGATTAATCAAATCAAATCAATCTTTATTGTTGATCGCAGGTTATATAAAGATATTGGATGCAAGGACTGAATAGTTACACCGTGATCTGCCTAAAAAGCATACAATATTTGTAGGTTAGTAATTGTCAACTAATCTAATCAACAACATTAGATTGTCAAAAATTCAACTAATTCATTAAGTTATTTATACATTTACAAAGTACTGTCAGCTAGATACTCGTTTACACTATAATATGTTTTTGCTACTAATAATTTATAAAGTTTTCTTTTAAAAACATTACAGTTATCCAGATTACGTATTGTTTTTGGAATTTTATCAAAAATTTTTGGAGCCATACAAAAGATACTTTTGTTCAACTGAGCTGTCTTAGAGGGTATCGTACACAATTTGTCTCGATGACGCAATCTCGTCTTATTTTCAAATAGTTGTTGATCCTGTTTGACAAAAATACCAACTTCGAATATATAGATTGATGGCAGGGTCATAATATTTAGTTTAATAAAATATGCTCCTAACACATTTTTTCTGGGCTCTAAAGGCAGTTACAGAATCAGTAGAATATCCCCAAAATATAATCATAACATAACCGTATCGAACAGTAGAAACTACTTACGCGTGATAAGCTGTAAGGACCGTGCACTGATTCGCGATCCTACTAAGTTTGTACAGTGCACAAGAATACTGGGACAACTTTTTGCAAACATGTTCAGTGTGTGTTTTCCAAGTCAAATTTATTATTATACTACTGATTAAAGTACTGATTTGATAAAAAAAAACGTGCTTGATTTATTTATGTCGTATGTAATGGTATTTTTATATCTTATAGCTTAAATACAATGATGTCACAACTTACCTCGGTACCTGTCACAACTTACCTCGGTGGTAGGAGAGTTGTGACAAGGGGAGTGGACTTGAATTTTGTTATTTTTTTCAGAAACTATTATACTTTAATTAATTTTAGTGATGGTTTTGAAAACAGAAGGAATGGCGCTAAACTAATTCACATGAGTCATAACTGTGGAATGTTTCTTAAGCGAGATAGAGCCCCTTATGTAAAAATTGTCACAACTCTCCTAGGTCTCCCCTAATCTTACTCTGACGCTAAACCTTGTTTATAAGTAGCAGTGTAAGGCTTTAAAACAATACTATTCAGAATACAAAAAAATATATATTTTATGAAAACGTTTGCATTTATTAACACCTGGCAGCTGAGCTTCAGCATACCAAGCAATTACTGCGCGATAACAAACTGCATGTACCACGCCTCAGACACAAAAACGAGTCAAGTCTACCACTACGCTACACTTCCATTCATGAAAGTGTCACAAACAACAATGGAAGGATTTTGAAAAGAGTTTCTATTAATACTTACTTTACTTACATTATAGCCGCCGAAAAGATCAACCCATTCTTAAGACTTGTCAAGTGTAGGTAATATCTGAAGTTGCAGGTGTATGCAAACTAGATTACGAATATGGGATTTCATAAATCGGGAAGACAAAGAGGAGCATAGGATTTCGCGTTAGGGAATATGTAGTTAACGTTAAGCGTAAGCGCGAAAATAAATTCGCAGTGCGTGAACGTGCGTCAGGAGGACCGGAGCATTACATAAGATTTGATAATCCCAAAATTCTTGCGACTGAACAAAGATTCATTTCTATAACCATACACGATGCTATTGAAAAATAAATAACATCCGAATTTTAATAGAGATGAAAGTTGGAATATACAATCGGCTTGGGATTCAGAAATCAGTCAAATAAAATGTCAATCCAGATCACACATGGCAAAACGAAAAGATACAACAGTTAGTTCATTCTGTAATTATTAAATCAAAGAGCAATTCACTTTTCTTGTCGGAGTTTAGCCAGTTCTACTCAGATAAGACTCCAAAATTCGGAACTGGCGGTAGATTACGGCAGCCAGGGGTAAATAAATAAGTCAAATATATTTTTAAAATAGTTTAATTTAATAAATGTAAACGTTTTCATAAAATGTAAAAAAAAAAATATTGTGAATGTGTCCAATAGTAGGTACCTATTATTTTGAAGGTATGCTATACTCTTAATTAAAAATACAATCAACACCTTTGTCATACCTTAGTATTATGTAAATACGGAAACAGTAAAGGGTCCGAAAAGTCATTAAAAAAAAAAACAGGCGTGATTAAACGGTTTAAAAGTTATTTCAATTATAGATAGTGCGCGTGAAATTATAAGAAATCGATATAATATCAATAAGAAACGCAAATTAGTGATGTCTCAGTCATATAAATCATCAGTTTACTAGTGGCGTTTAAATAAATTTTCTGTGATATTATCTCAGTACACTTTAGAAGAAATTTGATATATTATCAATTTGTAGATATCAGCAGTTTGTTATTTTGAAAGTTGAGTTTGAGTCTATACTATTTCAAATTCTTAATTTCACGAGAACCTGAAATAATGTAATATTTTTGTCAGATTCCGGCATCTAGATACGATGGTGCGCTTGAAGAGTCCCGGTACGGCCAGCAGGCGAGGTTCATCGCCGTGCCCTTCGCCGGAGCGTCGTGCACCCTCACCGTCCACACATTGAATGGACAAACCACCGCCCATGAAACATTCATCTATATTCTCTTAACAAAAATAAATGTCCTGGGCATGCATGTGAATCCGACGTTTTATTTCCCCATTTGTGATATCTAAAGCAATGATCATCAGGACTAAAGGCAAAGAAATGGTATCACTCGACTGCCAAGGAGTCACAAATCACACATTATTATCTACTCAATATAAATTGATTTTTTTGCAGCTTGGCCCATGTGATTCTGCATTATACCATTTATATAAAAAGCGATTCAAGAGGCAGGCTCTTAAATCACTCTATATCAATGAAAACCACATTAAAATCTGTTGTGCAGTTTAAAAGCTCTCAATGTACAGACACCAGTAAGCAACTTTGTTTTATATTATGTATAGATTATTTAAATATCTAAGACTTCTGCTAAGCCAATTAATTTTGAGCTAAATATTTTCTATGCAGATGAATTGTTGACTTAAAGATTACCAAATTATTATTATAAAATAAAACTCAACTTATCTGAATAATGTAATATGTTTTATTCCTTATCTGAATAATGTAATTTATTAGTGACATTAATCCCATACCATATGATGAGTTTTTATTTCACCATCCCAACCTGAGGTGTGTAGTGTCTTACTATCTGCCAAATCCCATGCTAGGCCTCTTACATAATTATTATGCATGTGTCTGTCATGGTAGATTCCTTTTACCTCATTACAGGCATTAACTTCACAAACTGTGACTATTTTGTTATCACAACAAATTGCCACCTTATTCTCTCTGAAAAATAGGCAAATTTAATATTTGATAACAATTAATAAGCTAGCAATGAACAATAGAAAAAACTATATAATGGAATACATACTCTGGATGGACCTTTATTTTATGAATAGCAGCAGGGAATTCTGTTAATTTTGTAAAATCCTCAGGAATCCTTATGTCTATAAGAGATAAAACTCCACCTTCATCACCAAATATTATTCTATTCTCATCTAACCATTGTAAACATCTTATGCCACAATTGTTTTTAGCCAAATCTGTAATATGAGTGGTAAATTACAGGATTTAGATTATCACAAAATTATGATCATGAAAATATTACTTGAAAAGAATTTATATGCAGCTTAGACTAGAATGTATATTAGTAATTATGAACTATAAATATTTAAAGAATTACATTCAACATAACAGTACAGCGGACCTGCACCAACCTGACAAACATTTTGCAGGGCAATGATGGATTATCTAAATTTGTCAGATTATACTTCTTAAAACTGTATAAAGTTTCCCTATATTTTATGAATGAGTATATCATTATCTTTTAATAGCGGACCCAGCAAACATAGTTCTGACCAAGAAGTTTGCATGTAAGAATATATAAACTTCTTGGTTCCACCTAACAGGCAATGAATGAACAAATTATGGGCTTAGCCATAATTTAAAATAATCCTTAGACATAGACAACATTATGTGAACTGTCAGTTGCGTTTTATTGTGACAAATCACTGTTATCTTAGTTCTGTAAAACTGAAAAATCATTAGTTCTGTAGAACTGGTAAAACAATAAGTTATTTACATTAATAAATAATTAAGTTCACACAAATGTGTTTCATGGGAAATGTGGAGATTTGGAGACATTTTTCTATACAATTAACAGTGACAGACTTATCCGACAAGCTGGGGCCCCCAGAATAAATAGGGTTCAGATTACTGTGGGTCTACTGTAATAAGCATTGATTAAGTTCATTACTGCAAATAAATTTTCATACTTAATGCAGGATTAGAAATATTATCATCCCATAATGTAATATATTCATCCGTAGAACCAGTTGCAAATGTGGTAGTTGAATTAGGCTTTACTGACACTCCATACACTGCTAAACTGTGTGCTGTTAAATAGTTTCTTATACAGAGCATTTCATGTATATCCCACACCTGCAATCATTATTTAAAAAATCATTTTGATGTTATTATAAATAATCATTGATTATTGACTTCTAATATACGAGTAAACTTAATGAGAAATTTGTGATGCAAGCATAGTAAATATAAATAGACAGCGATGGAGTGATAATAAAATATATTCACCTTTATATTACCATCTGCTCCAGCTGTGACATATTCTTTCTCTGATTGGAGACAATCAACTGTTAAAACTGCATCATCATGTTCAGCAACTGATACATCCTCAGTCCACTGTTTCCAAGCCTCATCTTTGCTAGCAGACCAAACGCTAACTGTACCATTGTCCTCACACAACAACACCTATAAGAATATTTTTTATAAAGTAAACCACATGAACAAAGTAAAATACATATTTTATCATACTTTAGTTATAACTATCACAATTACTTTACTGGCATTTCCAATAAAACATCCATCAGCCGTCCCACTAGCTAAATTTATAGTCATTTTTGCTTCATTATGTTTTTTTTGCGACTCATCTAAGGATTTGTATATGTTCGCACCACCATTCCAGTACCGGCCAGTCAATTCGGAGCAACCTATTAGCACTCCGTCCTCTATAAAATGGGGCAGTAATTTAATTATATATTATTAAAATAAGAAAGCAATGTTAAAGTTACTATAAAATACAAATTTTACTTGGATGAAGGTACAGGTAATCCAAGTATGAAATTGTGTTAGCACTAGAGGTATCGCTCCTATATATTTCTGCGTTTAAATGTGGTGGAATAATTTTATTGCTGTTTTCCATTATCAACTATAAGTAGGTTCTTAATTTTTTTCAAGTTATCACCACAAAATAAAGAAACAAGGTATTTACATTACAATACAACCTAAAACAAAATTATTTCCATATTTCTACCATCATAGCTTTTAACTAATGGTGTGCAGAATCGATTACCATTAATCGATTTTTCAAATAATCAGTTGCTATTGATTATTATTTTATAATCGACGATTAACCATCGATTATTTCTTAAAATGTTAGAAAGAGGAATAGTTTAAAACGATAGTGTACTATCTACTTACTTTACTTCGATGGCTCAGCAACCCATAGCGGATCGTGAGTGTGAATATTATTAGTAGATATTCTATTATTATTATGGCAACCCTAGATTACTCCCACTAACATTTGAACTTTACTCTTTGGTCGGGGAACTCCCGATAAATGAATGAACGGATCTTACAGTTTTATTTTAACGAATACAAATTAACAGTTTTTTACTAAAAGTACATGTAATACACGGTACATACCTATACATAAATATTTTTTTTTTTTACATTTTTGTCTGTTCGTTATTATTCGTTGTTATTTTTTTACATTTTTGATTCTTTTTATATAGAGACGTAAAATACTGATTTTGAATCCCCAATATTCGTATACAGGTTTCGATTACATATGGCATTCAAAACCCTGTGGCGGACTAAGGAGGGGCGGTGGGGCGGTCCACCCCTGTCCTCTTGGCCAGGGGTGCCTCCAAATGGCTTCAAATTGCCTTGATCATATTATTAATTGTCGTTGTACTGCCTATCTTTACGTCCTGTTTCGTAGTTTTAGCAGTTTAGCAGGCGTCTCAGTTTAGAAGGCCAATAATTGGCGGTGGCTACTGCATGGTTACTAAGCTTCTTCCTATTTAGTGTAATGCTGGATTCTCTACATGTAGCATGACGAACAAGAGACTGTTTTGTTTACACCCAAATAATCGCCTATTTCCGGTGTGCTAAACTATATCTCACTCTTGATCCTAGAAACGTGACGTTTAATATAGACGTATTATTAACATGTAATAAAGAATTCCTCGATCATATCATTCTATGAGTATTGCTTTTAAACAAAGAGGTTCAGACGGCGAGCTCTTAGTAACAATGGGAAAATGTCTTATTATCACTTTAAATAGAATTCGATTAAATTGGGACTACTTAACACTATTTTGTTATGTAATTGGATATGATATTGTAATTAAGTACAAATAATGATAATAAAAAAACTACTACAAATTTCAAAGAAAAAAAACAAGGTTTCAGAATAATGTCACATATGTTATTATATTAATATCACATGTGAAGATGTCGTTGGATTTTGAAATACACTTGCTCTTAGGATTTCATTTGATATATTCGGGTTTTGAGATGTTGTATTTTTCGATATAAATCTATAAAATCCGCTGTTTCTACGAAATCAATTTATAATGTATTTATGGGCATAGTTTTATCGATAAATATTGGTCTTATCGTTTATATCGTTCATCCCTTTTTGCATCTGTCATGTCCACAGAACAATATGGTTATGTCCACGGCCCGTCAACTCCGTACAATAAACCAATCCCGTAGGGTCCAGTGATGTATGACATTTCCTCACGCCCCTCACCCCTGTCAGTAGATAGAGACATGACACCTGACAGAAACTGTCATTACAACAAAGAGTAAAGATAGTAATGTTTTAATCAATCTTTAATTCATTTTACATGTTGGAATTAATTTATTCATTTCACATTGGCAAAATTGTGTGAAATGCGCAGATATGCCATTAATAAAAGAAGAAGACTTAAGTATGTACCTACATATCAGGGAATTACAAGTGATTGAGTAGTTTCTTTTGTGCTTACCGTCTTCGCTTTATTTGTAATATAAACTCTCCATTTTTCCAAGTATTTTTATTTGTAGAAGATGCCTAAGAAATTGGTGTGTTGTGTTATGGTTGTGTTACACGCATTGTTAAAGTACGAACAGGACGCTATTCTTAATAAGATTCTAGTGAACGAGAAAAGATTCTCCAAGTGGTTACAATGTCTTAGTGCTGTGTGTGATACTGAAAATTTTAATTCAGGCAGAAGTGTCATTTGTAGCAAACACGTTGTACCAAGATTCATCACTCCAAAATCATGACTCTTGGGTGATGCATATCCGTCATTGTTTATTGATGATGGGCTCTCAATCAGCCTACCCTATTCAAGCAATACTGGTAAGGCTGGTTTAATCTGCTATTACCTTTAGATAATGTAATTAAAATGATATGTATCTTCACTTTATGTTGTGTTTTGGAATACCGCTATTCTTCATTAGATTTTTTTTTATTACAGAAATTATATTCACTTGGTAACACAGCTATGCAAGAAAGTCATGTTGACCACACATATTAGAAAGTGGAACTGAACAGAGGTTTGTTTTTAATTTATTTTATTTAGATAACAAAGTTCATGCTGCACTTTTGGTATATTTTAATATAGATTTTTGCTTTAAAAAAGTCAAGTAGATCTCTCTTTCTTACACACATAAAGAAAAATTACATTAAGTTACTTAACTCCAGCGGGCACGCTAGAAATGATTTTGATCAGAGAATAAATTGATAATATAAATAACATATTTCTAATATCATCTAAGATTATATCCTGTTTTTTAATCTTACACACAAAATCAATATTGATTTCATAGGTGGTGTAATTTTAAAAGGACAAATTGAGACTCCTGTGTCTGCATCCACTGAGTTTACTCAATTAGCTGCTTGCTCTGGAGATTAAAATATGTCACAAACTAAATTATCTGGTAAGACCTGTCTCTTTCTTTAGTGTATCTTTATTTCAATCAAATAGTAGTTCTAATAGAGAAATTCACTGAATACCTTTGATGTTACAGACCCTGTGAAATGGACCCAAACAAAAAGGAAAAGGCTTATTACCAAAAAAAGCCAATTGCACCTTTACACCAGAGAATTTATGAAGAATATAACAAGCCAAAGACATAGTTGAACTTTCATAATAAAGTTAAGAATACTTAAATACCTTTAAGTTTTGTAAAAAGTTATCATTTGAAAAGTTCCGAGAAAAAATGAACACAGTTGCAAAAAATGTTTTTGAAATGCAAGTGAGCCTGTGCTCTAAAAATAAACATGAGAGGTGATTCACTACCAAAGAAAAGATATTTGCTTTATCAATATCAAAGCAGAGTCCAAAGTGTTATTGATTTTTTAGCAAAATTTTTTATTTTATCATCCAAAACTACACTGAATACTATGATTAGAAAATTGATCATAGAACCAGGCTTCATGTAAGAGGTAAATATATTCCATATAAGGTTTTTCATACTACTTTTATAATTTTTGTATTACTATCAAATAATAATATGTACCTACCTATTTGAATTTACTTTTTCAGGTGGCCAAATGAAACTCCAAAAAAATATGCTCCATTATATTTGATGAGATGTCATTAGAAACAGCACTTTCATATAATAAAAGTAATAAGGGTTAAAGATAACATTAATGGATTTGTAGAACACCAAGAAAAGAAAGTGGATTTTGCAGATCATACTTTTGTATTTATGTTGGTGCTGTTTACAAGTGGCAACAGCCTTTATGTTAGTATTTCTGTCAAGGAGCGACATCTATTGTACATCAAGAATATTTTAAAGTTAGTACTAGAAAAAGTTGTTGAATTGGACCTTGATCCCATCGCAATAATATATGACCAACGCTCGGATTTCCAATCAGCACTCAAAAATCTAAAAGAAGACACTTAGTGTGATCAAATTTTAAATTGAAATCACAGGTTGGTACAGAGAATTATATTTATATGAAAGAAAACTAATAGATTTAATGAAAGTAGTGAAGGTTCTTATTTTTATATTGTTATCTATGTTTTAAGAAGTTCTTAAATTTTTGTTTCAGTTGGCATTCTTAAAATATGTGGGGTGGATTTGAATATTATGATTCTACACACTTGATAAAATGTATCAGTAACAATTTTTTAACAAAAAAATTAATATTGGATAGTAAACTTGCAAAATGGCATGATATTATTTATGTCTATGAGACAGACTGTCAACACACTGAAGCTGGGCTACGTCATAAATTAAATGACCAATGAGTTATACCTGATAAAATTAAAATGATGAAGGTAATGCATTGGTTATTATATTAGTATAACTTAAATTAGTATAAATAAAAGAAATAATTTGCATTCAGCTTCTATATTCTCTATCAGAGCAAGTGTTGATTCAATGATCGTATTTGTAATTATGTAACAAGTAGTTAATATAGTTTACACTTAAATTACAATAATGATCCTCTAATGAAGATAATTTTAAATATGATATCTCTTTTTGCAGGTAAAAAATTGTGTAAAAATATGTCTGCAGCTTTGTCTTACACTGCAAATTTCTGTGAGTATTAGATGAATTTTACTAACAATTAATAGTTTTGAATCAAGTTTCATACAATTATTATATGAATATTTTAATTTGCAGCAACTTATGTGGATGGCAGGCCCGTCAGCACCACATTAAGAAATACAGCTGAAGTTGTTTCATTCTTTGATCAATTATTTGATAGTGTCAATGGAGCATCGATAAACAAAAGAAGCATAAAGGAAAAGAGCATCATTCTTTCTGGCCAAAGGCAATTGAAAATTTAGAAAAACTTAAATATGTGTAGGTATAAAAAGGTATGCAAATATCAGTGCCCTCTTTAAAAAAAATGTGATTACCTTGAAAAATTTCATAAGATTGTGCCACTAAAAAAACGTAGCTAAGAATTGACGAGAATGCAAAAGAAATCTGTAAAAATATAATAAGTTAAAAATAAATTATTCGTATTGGAAAAATGTGTGTTTCATTTACGTATTCGTTTTTCCTTTTTTGTTTTAATACAACAATAATAATAAGCTAGACTTATCAGTCTGCTTTATTGTTATTGTTGTATTAAAACAAAAAAGGAATTTAAATTAAAGTAAAAATAATGTGGAAACTAGGAAGACGGCTAGGTACCTACCCAAAACAGGGCTGTATAGCTAAATGCCTTTGCCGATAGTAAATCTCTATATTTAAAACGAATGAAGCTGTCATGTATCACTGGCTCCCAATCACGTTCTACGAAGAAATTTTTTGTTAGGAAGTTGGTCGTCTGATACCTACTAAGTCTGTGGTTATGTCATTGTCAACGTAGGCTGAAATGCATGACAGTCAAGATAACCAAAAATCTAAAATGTTGATAAATGTAATAAGTTGAAGAATTTGGTGAAGACATTTTAATTGGTGAGGAATAAGTGTTCAATCGCTTGTTTTTTATGTTTTATTTATAAGAATACTCTTTACTTTTATTATTATAAACTGCTCTTTTTGTAATATTATTTTTAAAATTTTGGGTGAAAAGCATTAAATTTTTATCCTATAGTGTTGGTCAACAAAAAATATAATAACACTGTCTTAAAACATACGTAATTTAACTGTTTACTTGTTATGCAGTGCAAATATCAAAAGAAGTTTTGAGTATCTACCTACTTAATTTACATTCAATTAATATGTCAAAGTTGGAATTATTACAAACTCTAAATGGCCACAAAGGAATTGTGTGGAATGTCTCATGGCATCCATTAGGCAATATATTTGCATCTTGTGGAGAAGATAAAACAATAAAATTGTGGAGTAAAGAAGGGCAAGACTGGACTATAAAAACTGTACTAGTTGATGGCCACCAACGAACTATCAGAGAGGTAGCATGGTCTCCATGTGGAAATTTCCTTGCTTCAGCCAGTTTTGATGCTACTACAGCTATCTGGGATAAGAAAAGTGGTGTGTATGATGAAAATTATCAATAACAATGAGAGGAAGTTATCCTAATTTTTGTTTTTTAGAATTGTTATAATTTCTAATACATATAAATACCATGTTTATTAGGTCAATTTGAATGCAATGCAACTTTAGAAGGTCATGAAAATGAAGTGAAGAGTGTTGCATGGTCACCATCAGGGCAACTGCTTGCTACTTGTGGTCGAGATAAATCAGTTTGGGTTTGGGAAGTTACTGGAGATGATGAATACGAATGTGAAGCAGTTCTCAATGCACATAATCAGGATGTCAAGAAAGTTTGTATATGCAAACATTAACATTTTTGTAATTCGTGAAAAATTTAAAGAAAAATTTGAATAATTGTTACTTTTGTAGGTGGTATGGCATCCAACTATGGATTTGTTGGCCTCAGCGTCTTATGACAACTCTGTTAAATTATATAAAGAGGATAAAGTGGACAGTGATTGGTCTTGTGTTGCTACATTGCAATCGCATGAATCAACAGTTTGGAGTTTAGCTTTTGACAAAACAGGAGAAAGACTAGCTACTTGTAGTGATGACAAAACTGTGAAAATATGGAAAGAGTACAAAGTAGACAATCAAGAAGGAGTTATTGTGACAGAAAGAGAATCGACATGGAAATGTGTTTGCACATTGTCAGGATATCATACAAGGTGTATATATGATATATCTTGGTGTCACCAAACAGGGTTGATTGCTACAGCTTGTGGTGATGATATTATAAGAATATTCCGAGAAGCGGAAGATTCTGACCCAAATGCACCTACTTTTGAACTGATCTGCACTAAATTAGAAGCACATCCTCAAGATGTGAACTGTGTTACTTGGAACCCTTCTGGGAATAAGGAACTAATTTCTTCTAGTGATAATGGTGAAATAAAAATTTGGAAATTTGAAGAATGAGAAATTTGTATATATAACAATTAAATTGACTAACTAGTGATTACATTAATAGGCTGAAAAATATAAATAAATATACAAGTTGATAAGATTTATGACTTTTTTTGAATATTCAACTTTTATTTGGGATTCTAACTTAATCTTTATACATATAATACTATAAAAAAATTAATGATAAATTTAGGAATACGATATTAGTGCGTTATGATAGTTATAACATGTGAGGCGGAATTTCAGCCCGAGCCGAAGGCGAGGGCGTAATTGAGCCGAGCATGTTATAACCAGTACGCACTTAAATCGTGCGACGTATTTTTAACACATTTGCGAGGAAACAGAAAAAAAAAAACATTAAATAAACTCAATCTGTGAATGTACACTGTTGCTTTCACGCATCTTTCACGCTATTTTAACAACGCACTAGCGCTGCCTGCTGACTGGCGCCGCGCGGCGATTAGTTCGAAATTTGAATAGCAACAGCGCGCGAAATGGCAAATAATACTGTTATGGTATTTGTATGGACTATAACTTAACTATTTGCTTTGGTAACACACGCGTTTTTTATGACCCGCTTTACATATTTAAAACCGGTGCAATAGGGATGACTAATTTTTGTTTGTTATCCGTCAGGTAGAGTGTTAAAAAATATTAAACACGTATTTTTTTATGTTTTTTCGTAATCATAAAATTACGGCGTTACATGGAGTTGAAAGTTCGCATGACGTCACGTTAGGGTACGTTTTCTACTCAACTGGACGTAGCGAGCCCCCACTCCTCATCTTTAATGCCTGTTATCTAAGCTATTTCTTGTTAAATTGAAGTAAAAAAAATACGTATCTAATATTTTTCTATTATCTGACTGACGGACTAAATAGAATTGCATTTTTTTTACCCAGTCATCATCCCTATTACATCAGCTTTACGAGCAAAGATGTTAAAAAAGGGATTTTATAACTAATGTATGTTTGTCAATATACAGCATCTCAAATTTTCCCTATTGATCTTGAACCCACCTAGATTATTCATGTAAAATCAAGTGGAGAAATTGACCATTTTGTGTAGCCTGATATGCTGTTGACTGTGAAAAAAACATTTTAAGTTATTTTTTTTTTTTTAATTATATAGAATATCAACAAATTTATGGATATAGAGCATATGCATCAATGAAATTCTGTCAATAACAACATCCAATTGACATATTTTTAAAGGTAGATTTTGTTATGAGTTGACCTTCATATGAATTAGCTGAATATTTGACTTCAATCCGAACATTAAGAAACTTTTAAATGATTTTCAGATTGTTTATGTTCACTTTAATAAAGTATCATAATTGTATTAATGTATCAAAAACAGTTTTCTGACTTTGTGACTATGGTACGCCACTTACAATATTTGATAGTAAACATACAACATACATATAAAACCATGTAAAATCCCCATGTAAGAAAGTACACCAGAACCCTGTTTGCGTCCAGTTATAGCCGAATCGAGGAGCTACTTCGGAGAGTGAAACGTCCGAGACATATTTTCGAATTGCAGATTAAACGCAGTAAAACAAAGGTGAAAATGATCGTAGATCACGCAAAACAACTCGATTGAGATCAGATTGCCAACTGTGTGAGCAGATAGTAACCAAATGCATATGTATATTTAGGGGCATTAATTTCAAATAAGAGTTGGAATGGACATAATGAGAAAAATTTCAAAAAACTTTAGATCACTCAAATTCGCCTGGTACACCTACTCATATTTCCCATATTTTTGTATGCTGCAGAGATATAGATTTTCCGATATATTGAAAAGAAAATAGATGCCCTAGAAATGTGGTGCTGGAGACGAATACTAGGAATGTCTTGGACAGAATTTCGTACCAATATCTCCATACTGCGAGAAGTTAGAATAAAAAATCATGAGGCGAGCTACATCGGTCACTTTAGCATATACCTACTGCGTGTTGACTCTGCCAAGTTTTAAGTTTTCCCATGAAATTCCCAAAGGATGCTACAACGTTTCAAATTCATTTATTTGTGTACTCGTCTTTAGGTCAACCGTCAGCTTAAAAAATTACGGTACCCCGGTTCGGTTACGGTTTACTGAACCCTAAAAATGTTCATATTAAATGGATCTTGTTTTATTTAAAATTTTGCAGCTCCTTTCTAATGATTGTAAAACTGGGAACACTCTTGAGATATAAAACGGTCGTAAGAAAATTCTGTTCAGCAATGGATCCATTCAAAGTGTCATCAGAACTCAGTGCTGCGGGGGTCCCGTTGGATAAAGTCGTATCTGCACTTGAAACATTTGCTCCTAAAGAACTAGCTGAGAGTTGGGATAACACAGGACTGCTAGTAGAACCATATACACCGAGGTGAATAAATTATAATTGACAAAAATTAGTAGTACCCACCTAGCCCATTGAAGTCATTCATTGTACTAGTTTAATTTCGACAGTTAGTATTTAAAATATCTGTAATAATTAGGTATAGATCAGGTACATATTGCTCAGAGCTAAAATTAAGCAACTAAAGCAGTATTATTATTACAATTCAAAGCCCTTAGGCTACTAAATTCCGAAACAGTGAATGGCATCAATTCGAGATCAATGGGCTAATTTTCTAATTTCAATATCTATCGCAATATTTTTCAAAGTTATAGCGATTATGGAATCATGTAACTTTCATTTAAATTTTATATAATATAGAAACTTAGGAAAACTCGTCGAAAGATTGCAGTTTAACTCTTACGTTTGACATTTCTTAATGACTGAAAATTAAAATTAACGTCGAATTACGATATCGTTCATTGAATATTTTCAAAAAAAGATCGAGAACGCAATCCCTGTTACATATGAAACAGTTGTAGCGTGAAGTTCATGAATATGTTTGTTTAAAAATCAATCGAAGTCAACGAACTTCGGAGACAGTGAAACAATAAAAACGGTATGTGATCCACAAATCGCAGCCAAGTGGTTGAATCACTCGTTCAACTGAGCATAACCTTTATTTTTTGGCCCCCGATTAACGGGCTGAAATCAGTCTAATCACACCAATAAACACAAGTGAAAATTACATTCAAAATAAATTCTTAATACTAATACAATTATACAAAGACTAGCTAGACTAAACATATGGCGATTGAGACGGCCACAGCGCTATCTTTCGAAAATGAGAGTAACCAATGTATTTGATAGCGATTGTTTTAGTATGTTTATTACGATTTCGAAGCTTGGTAGGAATAGTCTGAAGTTTCGAGTTTATTTTTTAAGAGATAACAAAACTAAATGAATGTTTTAGCGGCTTTTAAATCAGCCGTCTTGTTGAACGGTGCAAATGTCATAGCTGTCACCTAGAAAACTAGGCGTGCGATAAAATGGTTGGCCGCTCAATTGAATGGCTGATTTCACCAGTTGGCTGTGGTTCCACATACATTGATCAGGATAGCTACAGCAAGGCTATTTGTGGATAGTTTTGACTTAAACAAAATTTTAATGTATAGCATTATTGTTTATTAATTTTGCGTTTGTGATATGAAATAAAAGTAAATGTAATTAGGATCCTAGTTGGATTGATATTATAACGATCTTGCTTGGCCTAAATTTCAAATCAGCGGTTTACAGTTATTTGTGAACATATTTAAGTAGATAGGTATATTATTAATATCGTCATCATCATACATTCTTATAGAGAGAATCAATTAGGGAGAACGGGCCATTATCCCATTATACCACGACGGCCCAGTGTAGATTGGTGCAGACTGGTCTATTATTATAATTCACAATGATTTGATAAAAGCTAAACTTTTCTGAAGTTTTTAGATACTAAATCGGAAAATGAATTTAGATCTCGTAATAATCTATTTTACACGCATTAAGTAATGTTTGTATGTTTTTTAGGAATGTGTCAAAAATATTACTCACAAATGACTTAACAGAAGATGTAGCTCTTGAAGCAGATAGTAATGGTTGTGAAATGATCGTATCCTATCATCCACCTATATTTGCTCCTTTGAAGTCAGTAGTCCAGAGGTAAGGTTTTATGGCCAGGCTGCATATTCTATTATTCTATATTTAAAATAAGTAGTTTCGTATGTTATGTATCGCTAATAATATTAATAAGAGGCGTGTTTGACTGCAAACAAGTTTTTATTAATTTATTTTTGTTAATTGTCCTAGCTTGGTAGATATATGTTTTAAATCCATTTATAATTCAGGTCTTGGAAAGAGCGTGTAGTTGCGCTTTTGTTAGAAAAGCGTATATCTCTTTATTCTCCCCATACTAGCTGGGATTGCGTAAGGGGAGGAGTGAATGATTGGTTATCTTCGGCTTTTGCTTTTGACGAGTCTACACCTATCACACCAGGGGCAGATCCCAATACAGGGGCTGGAAGGTATTTAACAACTACCTTAAAGTTGAATTATCAGTAGAAAGAATTATTAATGGCTAACAACATTTTTCTTCTTTCAGAATCCTAAATCTTATAAGTGAGATTCCTTTGTCGGATATAGTTTCGAGAGTAAAGCTTCTTACTGGCCTTAGTCACGTTCGTCTCGCGATTGCCAAAGAGAAAGTAATGCATGATAAAGTAAAGAAGGTAGCCCTGTGTGCTGGTTCTGGAGGATCGGTCCTGAAAGGCGTTGCGGCTGATGTGTATTTAACAGGTAAAACTTATGATTTCAAACACCTTAATGATTATTGTTCCATTCACCAATTAGTAAAATGTGTTTTCTAAAATAAATAGTTGTGTTCATCTTAAAATTGCAATGAGTTATTTTTTGTTTCAGGCGAAATGCTCCATCATGATGTTTTAGATGCGACCCAAAAAGGCATATCTGTTATTTTGACAAATCATTCCGATTCTGAAAGAGGTTTTTTAAAGTCATTTTCTACCAACCTTGAAAATAGACTACAGAACCAAGTGCAAGTTATTGTGAGTAAAGTCGATAAAGATCCATTAATTACTGTGTGAATCATTTAGTTGTGTTCATATAAGAAATAAAAAACATAAGGCAATTCATAAATAGTTTTTATTTTCTAACCTCGGCCGAAATTTTATTGATGCCTGGGACATTTTAACCCCAAGGTGTTATCGTTATTTGATTATTTTTTTTAAAATTTGTTTTAGTTAAGTTTTCTATTTTAAAAGTGTGAGATCATTGTTATCTTATCCTAATCGTCATGCACATCACAATCCCCGACAACACTCACATAGTAAAGATGTCTAAAATGTTTTCGAATCTAGGCATTAAAAATATAGACTAGATCAATTTCTCATTAAAGTAGTTGGCAAGATCTTTGCACATGTGTTCTGGTATTCCATACTCTATGTCCCTTTCTTCCTTTTACAAGCCTGTGATGATCTGGAAGCTGCACTGAAATATTTTCATTTTTAATAATGTCTTTTATTTTTGTTATAAATTTTAGATCATTGGAGCATGCATTTTGATTGTGACTTACTTACGCAGAGTGGATATTTCATTATTTCTACCTCTTTTTGTATCTCTGGAATTTTTATTTTTTTCTTTCGAAATATGTTTTTGCCTACTAGTGCCGTGTCCTTCCCTAACTTTAGATACGGAAGACACAGTTCCATTCTTGTCATCATATTTTATTACATACTCACTTCGTCGAGCCGTTCTTCGACTATTTGAAAGCGAATTTTTGTCAGCCCCGGACCGATCAATTGTCCTCAAGTCTTTTGATTTTACAGCATGTTCTATAACTAGTGGCTCTATATTTTTGTGGTTAGATTCTCTCTGTATACTTGAATTATTTTTGGAAGACTCCTTACGAAGATGATTTGTGGCAAGTTTACTATCAAGTTTAACTTTTAATATTACATCTTTTGGAGTTTCGTTGTTTTTTACTTGATTATTAATTGTTTGTCGAGAATTATCCCCTTTATATTCTTTTTCACTATTAAGCTTACTGTCTTTCAACTCTGTTTTGTCAATTTTGTTAGTTTTTCGTGAAATTGTTGAATCTGTATTAGTCCGATTTTTAGAATATTCAGGTGTGGAAAGTTTTTCCGTGCGTTGATGTCGACTGGTTTTCTTAACACTGTCTTGTTTTTTCCTCAGACTATCGGCATCGGATTTACTTATTCTTTCTTCTTTAGACTTTTCTAGTGAGCTAACCCGCCTATCAGATTTTTGTCGGCTATTCAATGAATTATAATGTAGAGAATCTCCTTTATCTACTATGACATTGGCATATATCGACAAATCTTTATCACTTTCTACGTCATTATGATGCCCATTTCTTACATCGTCAACACTTTTTTTAATTATCATTTTCTCTTTAATCTTCTTTTGTTCCGTGTCCCTAAAAAAATAAAAAAAAATTGAATGCACCATATTTTCAAATTTAAACGAGTTTAATAATAAATTTAGTTACTCCTTAGTAAATAAGATTAAGAATCTACTAACCTTTGCTGTTTATCGTCTTTTCGATTACTATGTCGCAGTTCATCGTGCCTGCGTAGTGAATTTTCGAAATGTTTTTTGACTGGTTCCGAGAGACTGCGGTTCGTGTGCCCCAGTGCTTCTTGTTTCTTACTTCTAGACCGCCGCGGCTCTTGTGGAACTATTATAGATTCGTTCGCTCGTTCGACAATTGGCCTTAAAATAGTTATTCTCTCATCTGAATTCTTATACTTTTCTCTTGTTCTTGGCGTAGGTATAGGAGCGAAGTTACTTTTTACCGGAAGGTTTTGGTAATCAGGTGATTCATCAGATTCTGCTTCACTATTTTGGGAACTATTTGATATTTGTTTTATTAATCTAACCGACTCAAATGTGTCATCTAAAAATTTTGGTTCTGAACTTGAAATCTGAATATTATTATTACATTTAGTCTTATTATATATGGTTTTCTGTTGATTATTGATGCCAAAATAGGTTAATTCACTTTCACGCAGTTGTCTTGTTCTTGCATTTTGCACGGGAGATATTTGGAAAATTTTTGTATCATTCCAATTGCTATTGTTATCAGATGTTTTCCCCTTCCGGATATTGGTATTTTCTTGAATTAATTTACCACTGTTAGAGCTGAATCCTTTCAAAGGCCCTAAAAAAAAACGTAATAACATTATGCACAGAAACAAAATAATTGTAATGCATGATATGTTAGTAAAATGGATTTAGAGAAATATTTTAAATTAACACTTTTAATATAAATGGATTTGTCGTTAAGTTATATTAATATCCTTCAACGAAATTTTACCTTTGTTGTTAGCCCTCAAAGAATCCCTGAAGCTCTTATCAGTATTTGTATTTAAATCGTACAAATTTTCATCATTTATATCATTTTTTTTTCTTTGAAGTTGTTTATTAGTTATCGATACCCCGGTTGGCGCTGGAAAATCATCCGATAGACTTGCATTAGTAGAATCCCCAAATACCATGTTCTCTCCTAAGAGATATGGTTTGGGTTTTGGAATTCTGTTTTTGAGAATACTTTTTGTAGCTGCGGTATTGTCATCCAATTCTACGGGTCCGTGGAAATTTTTTATGCCATTTTCATCTACTTGACTAGTTTTCAAAAAATCACCCTTTTCACCGAATAAAGTTATGGGCTTTTCAAACTTTTCGTTAATGGGCACAAAAGCACTTCGTCTTTTTCTAAAATCGTTTGTCGGTGGAGGTTTATCATCAGTTGCTATAATATTAACTTTCCCGGATTCAGCGGTAAAATGTAATTCTGTTTTACAAAATTCAACTTTTTTTATTTTGCGTTCTCCATCATCAATCATTTGATTGTTGTTTAAGTTGTAATTATCATCTTCTAAGGTTATAGGAACGGTAATAGAAACCTTTCCTTTTGATTGCAATGCTATATTATTTTCTCGAGGTTCTTCTTCCATAATGTAAGGCTCTTTATATGGCTTAAAATTGGAACCTCTGTAAAATTTGTTCTTTGTAATCCATTCATTAGGTGACCTTTGAACAACATTGAATTTCTCACGTGCATCACAACTTATATCTATTCTACGTGCATCTTCGGTAAAATCATTGACAATTTCTGATGATTTACAAATGCCACTATCTGTAGACGATTCCATGGCTAAGGTATCATTGCTTTGTAAAATTACTTCGTTCAGAGGAGAGGAATCTTCAAAACTATAACTCTTGCGTCTATTGTTCCACTCGTTACTATTGTTCAGAAGTGATTTATATTTTAAAGTACTAAGTGTAACCGGTGCATCTAAAAGAGGTGAAGTTCGTGAACTATTTCTTTTAAATGTATTCATAACATCGCTGTTTTCTGAATCACCAGAGAATTTTCTATGTAATCCTTTATGACTGGATCTTGAGTCCAAATCTATAATGCTAGCATTCTCAGTTGATGAAGATTCTTCACTGGGCATTCGTAAATTACTTTTATTAGATGCACCCCTCCACTTAGAAGGTTCTGATATTTCCATGTCATCTGGCTCAGTCACCTTATAATTTTGTGTTTCTATATTTGGATCATTCAGTTCTTCTAATGGTGTCGATGATATTTCTAATGGTTTCGAAGGATAAGTAGGTGATTCAAGAAGATTAAATCCCGAAGATATAACCTGAAATATATAATAGGATATTTAGTTATACGTATTATTTATCACACTGATAATGCCTTTAAACTAGAGGTATTTTATTACATAAGGAAAGTATACAAACCCTGCGTGAAGAGTGGAGCATGTATGAAGAGGTAGGTATGCCAGGGCCGGATGTGGAATGGTAAGCGGCCCTCATAACACGCACCCTGGCTCCAGGTGCACTTGCGTTTAACACCTCCATGGCTCGCGCTATTCGCCGCGTCACACCGCCTTCTGTTACCTATAAATTTTATAATATAACTTAAGATAAAATATAATATTTTTAAATAAATGATCTCAAGAACACATCAGCTACCAGGATAGCGATTCTGTAAAAATTCCAATCTTGAATTCACGTCATTTAGTGTAGAAATTTAATTGGTTCCATTTTTGTTTAAAAAATACAAAACAACATCGATTGATTCATATGTGTCAAATGTTCTGTTTCTATGTCACTTCGAAATTCACTTCACTTATGCCACGAAACGTTATTACCAATGCAAGGTTGAGCGGATACCGCTTTTGAAGATAGCTGCTGCCGCTGAGTGGTAAGTGTAAGTTTTACGCTAACGCGTTCTTTAGTGAGCGCGTTAAGAATTTGTATGGAGAGTTGTAGTTCTTGGAAGTTACCACTAGGGGCGCTGTGCCGGATTCCATACTAAATTCTTAACACGCTAACGATCGATAGTGAACATAAACAGCAAAAAAACTTACACTTAGCGCTCAGAGTGAATCCATATTAGATTTTTACGGGAATCGCAGGGCAGTAAGAAAATTTTTGTATAGGTACCACAAAACTTACTTGCGGCCAATATATATTTATTGGATAGCGGTCAGTTTTAAAATTACATCGTACCACAAAGACTATATTTTTTCGAAAACTAAATAGGACATTAAGTTACTAAGATGATATTCTTATTAGATGACATACCTACCCATTTACTCTTTATCATTGGTTATTTCGACATAAAATTTCAATGGCACATTAACAAATAAAAGCGTACGTTAAAATCTGTTCATAAATCATGACCCTATAGCCGGAGTTAAAAAAATTGTATACAGACAAATTAAGAACCTCCTCCATTTTGTTTTGATTGAAGTACATAGTTTAAAACTACTTTTAATCTATTTGACAAAACTTTTTTGAAAACTTTTGTGAAAAAAGTCTTAAGGTATTCTAATTAACGCTTTAATGTAAGTATAGTCTAATCAATTTAGTTTGTAACAAGTATGAATAGATTTAAAGATAGTGTTCGCATATATGTAGTATCTATTAAATTTATATGAGACAAAGACTTTATTCCATAGCAAGGCAATCTGATATCGTTTGCTACATAAATGAAATAGAGAATGAAATTTAATATTGTCCCCCCGATTATTTCCAAAACTACTGGACCATTATTGAACTTTGAATTTTGACAAAAAAGAAAACAGTTCTATAGATTACAGGTAGGAGAAATTCGGGGACTTGATCAGGTAGGAGACATGCTCCATAACACATAATCTGTTTATAATTCGTGATTTTGGGTTTGCCGTAAGGTCGTAAGATATTCTGTTCTTTCAGATATTATTTGATAAAACAAAACACACAACAAATTTACGTATTAGGATCATGTAGGTATCCTACCTATTGACTTAAAGATATATTTAAGTATATCTTTAATCAATAGGTATCCTACCTATTGACTTAAAGATATAAGATATATCTTATCTCTATGCTCTTACCTGATCAAGTGACCGGCTATCCCCTACAGGTTCTTTAAATTTTACATTTGCACGCAATAAGTTTACACGAGTTTCGCTCGCACTTGGTCGGTATTTTTAGTTATCCCATTATACTTCCATTGTTTATCTGTATAATGTTAAACACATTTTCACAGTAAACGTGTTGCTATAAGTACTATTGATAATTAAATGACTAAAAAGTCAATGAACTTAAAAAAATCTTATTCTATCGTTTGTTTGTCACAATTATAGTTTTATAGTATTATATAATATCTGCTTAATTAATAAAAAAGATAATTAATTTCAACATGTGCCAATATACGATTGACGTAGAAACTTTGTGTTTTATCCTTTGAATAATTTATTCCCTTTGCTAGGTATTGTAGAGTGGTGAATCTTTAATAAAGTAATATTTAAAAGAGGAAAGATATGAGTTTTTGTTTGTTTTAACCGATATTGATTTTAAAAATTCTGTCACTGATGTAAAGCTACGTTATCAACGAAAAACACAGGCTATATTGACTGTTGATAACTGTTAAAACTGATAATACATACATATAAATCACTACTTACCGATCTACATACTCATAGCTTATGTTAGCTAGATGGAGTAACTATTCAAATGTTTAAAAGTAGACATAAAATATGAGAACCGTATAGAATACTTTTGCGACGCTACTTTGAAGTAGTTCACTTATGAAATATTTATGAGGCCAAGCTTAGGTAGGTGTGATGAGTTCAGCTGTTATTATAACTGTCTGCGTTTTGCTTGGAATAGCGTAAGCCCCATTATGTCGACATGGTAACGTGCCATTTAAAAAGCAAGTACGCTAACTAAAACCGCTAATTTCTTGTACAAATCTAATATATACTAAATTCAAGGAAAGCAAGCACGTATGTAAGTTTTTTAGATAAGAATGTAAAATGCTTAGTAATTAATGTTACCAAAAATTTCGTTCCTCTTTTTTTACTAATAATAAATCCTAATGCTTTTCGGAGCGACTCACTCCACCTTAGTCATATATATATTTATATATGTATGACTTGCTTTGCCGCGACTTTGCCCACATAAATTCTAGTCTATGCCGTGTATGATGTAGCTACCCGCAGGTGAAAGAATTTTTAAAATCGGTCCAATGGTTTGGGAGCCTTCTATGTAAACAAACAAATTATACAATATTTTCTCTTTATAATATTAGTATAGATGTAGACAATGATACAAATTCAGTAAAAACAAACGCATCATATATAGGTAGGTACACTTTCTCTTCCGTCTTCCGTAAAACTATCAACCAATACGAGACCTTCGGCAGAAGTAATTCGACCTTCGTATGGATGCGTACTTATTTATTGTTCATTAAGTGACGTGACTGAGAACGGGGGCGAATGAAATTGCGATGCCAGTGCTTTTTGATCTTTTAATTAACGAGATTATTATTAAGTACAAAATCGTCAATTTTCTCCCAGTTAACTGGAGAATCAGGCACAGATAAAATGTAAGGTGGCATATAGAAATATAGCAAGAACGATAATATTATGTCATAAATTGCTTCAAAATTAATTCCCAAATAATGTAAGTTTTTTATATACCCTTATACTAGTATTATAAAGAGGAAATATTAGCTTATTTGTTTGCATTGAATAGGCTCCGAAACTACTATACCGTTTTTTTTATTTTTTATGTAAGGATAAGAAAATATTAAATATTACTTGTATTGTTTTGAGACATACGTCTCAAGATAACAGGGAATGGTAATGTTATCCTATTTTCTTAAGACTTCAAAAATATTTATATTGAAATTTCCGGGTTCCAAATTTCCTTTTAAGATAAGGAAACCTACAAATATTTGGTCATATCAAAACAAATATTATATTTTCCGTTTCCGCATGGAACACGGCGAGTCGATAGGATACAGTAGGCCACGTTAGCAAAGTTTTATGTTGCATTATGTTTTTGTCTTATTGTTAGATTATATAATGTACTAGCCAGTGCCCATGCTTCGTCCGCGTGGAGTTCATGAAATGGTTGTTTTTCCTCCAGGAAAATAAACAAACGCGCACCACTAACGCTCGCGAAAAATCTTTGTACATCTCTCCGGGAGAAAAACAACCTGTCCTTAAATCCACACCAACACTTTGAGCGTCTGTCCCTATAACTAATTTATCGTCATGGTAAAGCAAGTAGACACAGGCAACTGGGTACGTTTGAATTCCAACGGAAAATTGTTGGGGATAAATAGTACACGCGGTATTAGCACAATTCACTTGTACCACAGACAGTCAGACTCTGTGCTTCGATAATATTCATCTACAAAACACTTTTGGACCACTTGCTGTAAGTGAATTTAAAAATTCAATCGGGTAATTTTTAACATCATCATGGTCAAATGACATTATTATAAGAATTGTAAATTCTCCAATGACACATTAATTTCATCTGATCTTATTTCTTTATTTATTACGGTAGGAGTTTAACAAAAACCTCCTGAAAAGAGATATGTGTGAAGAGAATGTACGTGACCTATTGATCGATCATCTCGGCGAATATCTGATAACGTTCAGTCCACAGCATCGCTTTTTTTTGTTGGACATGGTACATTCGTCTCAAACGATTACACCTTTCATGTATCACTCGCTTTGTTACAATTTCGCGTTATCACCAACCTGTTTAGTGTTACACGTCTGGCTAAATTAATTAGGATATTGAACATTGTGTGCCGTCTCACGACCAGGAAACAATTTAGCAGCAATCCCTAAGGATGCTACTGGGAGAGCGATCTTATTCGATCACCTAATTTCAGCTAGAATTGTTCTTTTATACTAATATTATAAAGAAGAAAAATTTGATTGTTTGCATCGAATAGACTCCGACACTACTGGACTAATTTTCAAAATTCTTGCACCTACGGGTAGCTACACCACTCGGGGTTGATATAGACTATAATTTACGCGTGCGAAGCTGAGGGACAGCAACTAACATCTAAGAAAAACAACTTTATTTCATCATTAGACACGATGTGGACCGATGGAGGTAGACCGTAATAACTAAAAGATTTGTCACCATACGCAAAGACAGTTCCTTTTATAGAACAAAGGGAACTATTTAACACTATTACATCGGTTGGAGTTATTGCATCCTGCGCATTGTTCCTCAAATTGCGTAAAATGTCTTCAGATAGATTTTGTTGCACTTTTCCCAAATTTTTAAGCGATCCGAAAGACCATAAAACACCTACATTATTGCGAACAAATGACATAAGGAAGGGATAATATCACTAGCCATGCGCTTAAAGAGCGTGGTCCTATTGATAGTCATCGTTAAGAAGGTTGAACAGCAAGATCCTCAATATCATCAACAATTTTCATGAAAGTAAATGAAGTTGGTCCTCGAAATGTATATTAGTTTTTGCGCATGTATATGACAGGTGCAAAAACTAATATATTTGTTAATATATGTTTTTTTAATATGATCAAAATCTGATTATCTGCCCTAATATATTGTAATGTAAAAATAAT